TTCAACTACTTACCAATATCATTATAGTATGAAAGCAGCCACATATATAAATGAGTAACATCATGTAAATGAGTAAGTATGGCTGTGTTCTAAAACTATGTATGGTCACTGAAGTTTGAATTACATTTAATTTTTAGGTACCACAAAACATTTTTCTTCTTTTTATTTTTTCAAATATATAAAAATGTAAAAACTATTCATAATGCAGGGGACATACATATCAGTGACACAATGGTTTTGCCTGCACTCTCCAGTTAGCCACCCCTACAAGTCTGCTAATCCACCCAGAAAGCAGCAGCTTCCTTCCAGCTCTATGGTGTACCCTGGGAGATATTTTTAAAGTTCAGCCTAAAATATATTTCTGCAGTCCTTGCTTGCCTTCCATGATTACATAAGCCATTGATACCCTGTAATAAGTACCTTCCTGCTTAATCTGGCTACAATAAGTTCTGTTCTCTGCAACTCTATTCTGACTGATTAACAGTGCTACACATATATAAGTACTTTCTGTTTTCGACCAGAAAAAAAAAAATCCTCATTCTGGCATTTATCTTTTAGGTATACTCAGCAAAATATTCATTTATAAATTAAATTTAAATGCTTTATAAAAACATGATGTTAACATTTAAAAATAAAATACAAAAGAAAGTTTAATAGTAATTTTAATAATAGAATGTTGTGTCAGCTACTCAGGAGGATGAGACAAGAAGATCACAAATTTGAGGCCAGCCTATGGCCAAAGAACACAATAAAACCCTGTTTAAAAAACAAAAACCAAACCAAAACAAAGAAACAAACAAACAAAAAACCCTACACCTACCTGACTCCCATGAATCTTTAAAACAGAGAATCATGATAAAAATAAGATAATCCTTGATTAATAATTTGCAAGTATTCAATGCATATAAACCATAAAAACATAAAAATATGTAATCAAAAAGGAAAACTGTTCACTTCCTTTCAATAACTAGGAAACCAACATTAGATTACAGAGTGAAAAAGTAGAAGACAGGTGAACTCCTATGAACATTCTGCCTATAGAAAGTCTATTTTCTTTTGCTTTTAATGGAGCATAATGACATGTCTAAAGTCTATGATGGTTCTAGACAATCTTAACAAATATCTTAAGAACAGTACAATCTCAGAGCACCACAATCATGTCTGTTCATGTAGTAATCAAATTAAGGCAGATGTTCACATCAATAGCACAACATTAATCTTTCCTGCAAGGCACACTGGAGAATAACCCCAGAAACAGAAATTGTACAAAGGTGATTTGGAAAAATGGTCTTCAAATATATTCTGTTTGCCATTTCTAATTTAGAATAACTAGGTTATCACCTTTAAAATTTTTCTATTGATATTGAATACATTTTAACCTGAGTTTGGAGATAAAAAGGACATCATTATAAGTATTAACAGTTCTAAATAAAATGTCACAGCATGCTTTTAAGTATATTTATGGGAACTAAATACAAAATCAGTCACCATCCTACAATGTATTAAAAAAAAAACTATCTTAAATAAGAGAGTTAAATTATTTTGAAATCAAGACTTCAGCCATCATATAAAAGTGTGTATGCATGTCATCTCCAAAGATAAAGGACAGCTAGAAAAAAAATAACAGCATAATTCTCATACTAAAACAAGCAACTATCATTCTTTAATAGTAAATAGCAAATGTTCAAATATTTATTTCATATCATTGTTTTTTATGGTTATTTTATATGAATAAAGATCAAAACAAGGATCTTGTGCTGTTGGCTGACAATTCTTTTCATAGAATTCCCAGTTTACATCTGGTACAGGAATTCTGTGCTAATGGAAGACCTGCATGTATGTTCATGTGTTACTTTAATAATTTATTTAACAAATATTTAGTATGTGACCATTATATGCTAAGTAATGTTTAAGTTGCTAGGAACAGAGCAGAATAGAAATTCACTAAAACTTATGTCCTTCCGAAGCTTAGATTCTAATGGGGGAGAGGAAAAAAAAGAAATTAATATGTGCCTGGTGGTGAGATGGCCATAAGCTTTGAAAGCAAAATGTTTCCAGGGTTGCGGTTTCAGTTTGCAAAGTGAAGGAATGCTTCTTGGAGGAGTTAACATGAGAAGAGAAATGCTGGACTATGCTTAAGACTTCCTATGGGAAGGAAATTCCAGGCTGAAGGACAAGCAAAACCAAAGACTCATGATTGGCCTGGCTAAAGAGTTATGATGAAGCCAGTGCTGCTGAAGCAGAGTGAGAGAAGAGAAAAGTGTTAACTTGCAGATCGTCTGCGCTGTGAGAGTCAGTGTTTATTCTTCTTAGCTGCCTGGCATCAACTGATGCCAAGAGCATAGCTCTGTACTCTATGTCCTCTACTTTGTCACTTCTTCACTCTGTTATCAGCAGGAGTAAAAACAAAAGAAAGACACATCTGTGTCTTTTCCTGCAGTCTCACCTTGCCTGCCACTGGCAGTACCCATACCGCCCGTAAAAGAGTTCTGTGCCATGTTTATGACCTGTAGATATTTATACACTTTGTTAATTTGGTCTCAAATTCTGGGTGTTCAATGCAATTTTTCCAGTCTGAGTCTTAGGACTAATTTTCTTCTCACTTTACTAATGTTAAAAGATTTCTTCCCTATTCTTTTAGTTATGTTCAGTTAGTATCAGGAAGAAGAATGGAATACAAGTGCCTTCATTCAACCGTCTCTAAATGCAACTATTTTCCTTATCTACTATAGGGTGTTGGAATATGTATATCTATAGATGGGTAGAACTTAAATTTCTCAATTTATTTATTTTCTACTCTCTAGATTTTCTTTTTTTTTAATGTTTATTTTTAAGATGTAGTTAGACACAATATCTTGATTTTATTTATTTATTTTTATGTGGTGCTGAGGATCGAAACCAAGGCCTTGAACAGGCTAGGCGAGTGCTCTACCGCTGAGCCACAACCCCAGCCCAGTCTCTAGATTTTCGTATTTGAAAATCTGTGAAATTCTTGACCACCAAAATCAACAGACTTATAACTATTGTTTTAAATCCTTTTAGCACAGAATTGACTCTAAATACTTGAGTACTGTATCTATTAAAAAATATAAACTTGAAAATCAAAATAAATTTCTACCATAATCTTACATTCAACCTATGAAATGTTAACAGCAAATAATATCAATATCCAAATGAAAATGCAGTAAAGAGAATAAGTAAACATCAAAACACCTCAATATATTTTAAATAAATATAATATTTTTACTTTCAAGCACATAAGCTCTGGTTATATTGATAAAAGCTTTCTTTGGTTTCTGCTTTGAATAATACTTAAATTATCTTATATTTACTACATAAGTGATTTTCATGAAAAGCATTCTTCTGCATCATCTGAAGGTACTTTAAAAATGTCAACACTTAAATAGGTGAACATATTCCTCAGTCTCTATTATAGAGCAAACCAGTAAACCCTTTATGATGAATATAAAATTTAGTCTCACCAAAAACACTGAATTAGTGAGCTCAAATAATTATAAAGCAAGAATATAAAAATATGTACGTGTTAACTTTTATTTTCTTATTCAATCAGTAACACTTTTTGCATCTAAGTACTCTATTATATACCAGTGATAGAAAAATAAAGGGATCATAGGGGCTTATGGTCAAGCTAGGATATAACACAAGCACCATGATAAATGCTATAATAAATAATAATACACAAGTAAATGAGATGCTATGAAGACAGAGAAGAGGCTGTGAAGCAGAATCAAAGAAGAGGAAAGTGTTAACTCGAACCATCAATACAGAAGGTGACACTTGAACTAAATCTTGGAAACTGAACAGAAGTTCATTCAGCTGACAATGGGCTGGACTGTATTTCTAGCAAACAGACTGTATGTGTACAGAGCAGAAATCACAAGACATGCTGCTGTGTTCTGAGTAGTTCAGCACAGAAAGAACACAGAGTGAACTTGAGGAAATGCTACAGAAGAGACTTGCATAAACTAGTCACAGCAGATCACAGAAGGCCTCACATATTAGACTAACAAAATCATATAAAAGAGAAGAGAAATATATGTTAAGAAAAATTTTTAAGCACAGTGAGAAGTATGGGACAGATGTATTTTAATGATGCTTCAGTGACAAAGGTTGTGCCAGTGGGAGCAAGGGTGGGCATAGTGCTGTGAGAGAATACAAGTAATGTCACTAACACAGGATTAACAATCTGGGAACTGGTCTTTCAGTCTTTTACGATCAAAGGAAAAGATGAAGAGGATTCCAGCTTGTGTGACTACAAGAATGTCAGTGCCATTAACTAAGTTGGAATAGTATTTACTCTAGGAATTAGTGTGAAAGACAAAAACAGACAAATTTGGCCAGCGAAAAATAAATAGGTCATGAGAAAATGTAAAACAAAATAAAACCCAGGCCTTGGGTTTGAAAGAGGAAAAGCAGATGGATGCACCTATATAACACATTCAAAACAAATCAACAGAGACCCTTGATTTCTAGGACTGTGAGGCTGTTTTTTGTTTTCCAAATAGAATAGACTACAAACATGCTGATAATAATTTAAAAGTGATTTAGCCATTGAAAAAATTTGCCATTTAGTATAAGCATGGATATTAAAAGACACAGTAAAAGTAAAAATCTTTTATCAAAAGCACTGAATTTGTGAATTCAAATAATTATAAAGCAAGAGGTCCAATTCTCTCCCCATGACCATCATTACTAATTTCTTGAATAGCTTTATGAACACAAGCTGTGTGTAAACATGTGGGTGTGTGTAAAATACATAGCCTCCTTTAAAAAGCCTATTAAAAATATAATTCTCAAGAAGATGGACCATAAATTTCCAAAATAATATACTAGCCAAATTTATAATAGTAGTGCTATAAACCAAGTCAATTTAAAAAGCCTTCTACTCATTAGTAATTTAAAGTCTTAATTTATCAATAATTTCAATGTACTAAAGATTAAAAATAAAACCCCACTAATTTCTCTTCCCATAAACTGACCTTTAGGGCACTCCTTGGGTAACAGGTTCTGAATGTGAGCACAATAGGGCCCATTCCCCTGCTGGTACTTTACTCAAGACTTGAAATCTGGGCTCCAACTAGAAAGGGAAGGGGGAAAAATCATAAATTAGTCTTTGATTCAGAATACTTTGCTCCATACAGATAGCGTAGCTTCATTAATTATCTCATATTTAAGGGATTTTCAACCCTGGCTAGATACTACAATCAACTAGGGAGTTTTAAAAAACACTCTTGATGCCAGAACCCACCCATTCAAATCAGAATCTCTAGGGCTGGAGTGCCAGCATGGCTACAGAAGGTCCCCAATTGACTATAACATGCATCTAGAGTTAAGAATCACAGCCATAAAAATGTAAGATCATATTTTATGAAGGTCACACTTAATAATTATAAATTATAATAATTATCTGTTATTAACAATGTTCAAGTATGGGATATGCAATTTAAAAATACTTGGGGGAAACTGGCTCTAAATCACCAAAAGTGTTACTAAAGCAAGACAAAGTGACACTGGAATTTCCACAATATAGCACTCAACAGCTATTCATCTCACACTGTCTGGACAAGTCTAATAGCTAAAGACAAATCTATTATAGATGGTGTATATGGAACAAACACGGCCAAATACTGAAAACTTAAATACTCAAAATGCCCCTGAATAACAAAGAAGCTACACATTCAGAGGTAAAATTTAACTGAACAGTCAAAATAAAATGACTACTGCTTAACTGCAAACAATCAGAAGTGAGGTAAATGAATCAAACTCCGAATAAGATGTCTTTTATAAGGATTCTAACTTAAAGGGTATGGAAGAGCTTAAGCCTAGATTGTACCACATGGCAACCACTATCTATATGTGGCTATTTAAATATTAATTCAAATTAATTTAATTATATAAATAAAAAATCTAATTCCTCAGTTGTAAGAGCCACATTTGAAGCATGGTTAGTAACTATTGTGTTGGACAAAACCAATATAGAACATTTCAATATTGCAGAAAGTTATATTGGACAGACTGTCTTGAGATTAAATTAATATCTGAAACTTATGGATATACACGTTCTAGGAAAATGATCTTTGACTTTTATTTGATGATCCAAGAAGATTATGTTCAACTGTCAAACCAACACTTCAATTGCCTATGGCCAAGTCAATACAAGGTAGGAAAGCGCTTGTTTTCCAAAACGTTACCTCTTAAAAAACAGAAACAAACAAAAAACACATACCATTATCAATAGTAACACTTCCCACCCCTGGACACAATTATTCAACATCACATCAAGACAAGCTGGACTACTATTAGTATAAAATGTTCTTCCCACCTCCCTGAAATTAAGATGTTTCTGGGTCTTTATTGCTTTTTCAGAAAAGAAAAAATAAATCAAAGCAGATTATACCTCCTTTGCTTTATTCATCAACTCCATTTTATTAGCTATTGGTATATCCAATGTTTTGCCTTCCTTTTAATTCCAAATCCTGGTTTTCGTGTTAAGGGAACCACAACAAATTTTACCATCTCACAGGCAAACAAAAACAGCAATCTTCCAAGAATTCCAAGGATATTTGCTGTGTATAAACCCAAGATTTAACAGTTGAGTTGCCATCAGCATCAGGAGCTTGTGCAAAACAAAGACATGATCCTGCAGTTGAACTCCTATTATGGATAAACACTCCAAGTGTGGCTTGTGCTGAAAGGTCTAGCTTTGACCAATGAAACAGATGATCTGCCTGTTTTCATATACAAAAGAGTAGCTGCTCTGAGAACAGCTATCTGGTGAAGATTCCTCTCTGCTTCTAAGATGTGCCTTGTTACCACATCCTCTGCAGGTGAAGGACGCTGTATATTCACATGGTGGAAAAGTGGAAGGGTAAGAGACAAATGCTGTAGTGAAGCATTTTATAAGGACCATCATCCATTCCCCAGGGAAGAGACCTCATGGCCTCACCACCTCTAACTACCATCAGAGTGGACATTAGTTTCAACCTGAGAGTTCAATAGCAGATAGTTCAAAAAACAAAACAACTAAAAAGGAAACAAGCTCTACAAATTCAGAGCAAAGAATGCGAGTTTGCCAAGAAAGCTCAGATCAGAAATTGTGAGCTGGGTCACTATACTCTATGAGTTTTGGTCTAATTTTTTTTAAATTTATTTCTTATATATCTTGGTCTAATTTTTGATTTGCTATAGGGCAATAAATCAATAAACCAGTGTTTCTCTGTGATTTTTCTACACAGTTTGACAGACTGATATCACAGAGGGGTGAATATACAGTCCTGAATGCAATATTTTCCCTGTCAAACATGACACACTACATGAAGAAATACTGCAATTCAAGTTATCTCAGAATATCTTCACTCTACTCTCCAGATTAGCCATAAATATAAAGGTGTGGTTTATATCATGGTTGTCAGCCCTTTTCACCAACTCAAGTTTTCTCACTCTGCTCTCAAAGCTCTTTCCCATCTGCAAGCTATCAAGAAAATCTGGCATCTTACTCCATGTACACACTGAAAGCTTCTGATACATGTCTGAGCTTTGCACACAGTCTGCAATTTTCTTTTGGCGAGCAGGCCTACAGAATACCCATCAGAAATCTGAAAACTGTCACTCAGAATAATTAAAAAAGAAATCTGGTAAATACAATATAATAATGAGAGAAAACAAGAATAAGGGCTTGGTATTTTCACAGGATTAATAATAAAAACAATTTATAAATTACTTACATACTTTATAATCCAGTGAGTTGTTTAAAAAAATTAAACATTAAAAACTAGAAAAAAGTTAAGATCTCTGTAAAAGCCAAAACATTCAGACAGTAGCTTCTATTGTGTATAATTCACAGATTAACTCTCAAGTTAAAATATACATCTAATCTTTTGAAAATCATAAATATCCACAATAAAGAAAACAAACTTTAAAGAGAAAATAAATTTTTCATAAAGACAGAAAGTACTTCCAAAAGTCCCAAGCATTTTGTGGTGCTTTAAAAATTTCAGCAGATTAATCCATACTTCTACCTTCAAGAGGAAAAGTCTATCTCAGTTCCACTGGAATGAGGACTCAACTTCTAACATATAAAATGTAGGTAATGAAACAATGTGACTCCAACACTAGATCATAATATAAATTTATATCCTGCCCTTGCCATGAATTTCTCCCTCTCAAATTTATTGTCAGATCTAGAGAGAACATATGTAAACTTTTTTCTATACTTGATATCAGACTATTCCAGGTGTAACAAATAACTTCTAACCATGCACTTGTAGTTTTGTGTATTATCAGGATTTAAAAATGAAAAAGTTAATTAGGTTGTTGAACAAAAAGTCACAAACTGCTAAATTCAGCCCAAATCACAATGGACTAAGACAGGTCCTTTGGAGAAAAAGTGTGGTGACCTCTATGATACACATAACAAGGTAAACTAGAGAACAAATGGGGAAAAAATGGTATAATTTTTATAAATGAATTCTTTACTTTATATAGGCATAAATTATCACACATCTATTCAACAACTAGAGACCTGCAGTGGAACTCTATTACATTTTATCAAATCTAAGATATTAGCAGCTATTAAGACTTCATTATTTCATGTGCCATTTTTTTAAAAAAAGGGCAATGCCAATATCTACTTAAAGACACATTCTAGTTCCAATATTCTTAAAATATGAAAAAAAGTATTCCTAGAATTGATAATGAAACATTTTATTCTAAAATGATACAAATTCATAGGTAATAGGGTCGTAATACATCTATTGGACAGGATTTTCCACTGTATCCCAGGGATAAATGTATAGGGAGTTTCATTATAATATTTTGCTAATACTTATTAGAACCAAGAACTATTAACAGAGAACAAAGGACTAAGGTTTACAGACAGTCGCCTGGTGTAGATCACTAGATAAGGCAGACCACCAGTGTGAGACCGATTTTAACCACACAAAGCACTCTTTCCCAAAACTGTTGTAGCTACAATGGGTATATTTAGGTAACAGAAATTTTCTCATTGGAAAATGAATCAAAATCAATCTTCCTCTGACAACTTTTCATGAAAACACCTATTTTGTTACCTTAAATACATACTTGCAAAGTGGAGATATTTAGATATTTTAAAACTAACAGAAAACTGAAATAATAGATGTGGAATGAATATATAAACATATATATATATATGTATATATATATATATATATTTTAATAAAAATATATATATATACAAAAAAAATATATATATATATACATATATATATATATATATATACACACACACACACATACATATACATATATATGCTTTGCTTTTGGTATTAAACACACAATCACATGTTTCCAAGTAACGGAAAAATCTCAGAGAAAAGATAATTTAATTTAATTTAGAATATTTTCCATGGCACATCATATATGAAGAGTTTTAGTCACTGATTTTATTCAGCAGTGGGTTAAGAGAAAGAGTTGGGGTGAGGAAGAAAAAGAAGGAGAACAAGAAAAAAGTTTAGAAGTGAACCTCATAGATTCAGGTTAAAACATTTTATCTATGCCTTCAACATATTAGACTACTCAATTTTATCAGTGAATAATTTAATATGAAATTGAGAATTTTTCATTAGTAATTATAAAGCTTTAATACATAAGAGTGGAAATAATATTTATGGTGCTGCTTTGTTCATTCTCCTGTTCATCAGAAAACGAAAATATCTGAAAACATAATTTAAGAAATACCCCTCTTTTGAAGGCAACAGAGTTATAACAGACTGATAAAAGGATAAAAACTGTTTATGAACACTTGGGAAAGAACAGTTTTCAGATAATTAAGAAATATTGCTATACAGATATATTTATGTGATATCTAACTTTTTATCTATCTAAAACCACGAAAGAATAGGGAGAATATGAGTATTAAATATGATTCTTCAGCTTCAAGATGACTCTACTGCTCACATACATATAAATTAATAGCAAAGAAGGGAAAGTAAAAGAATATTGAGTACAGACACTTTAAATAAGTTTCAAATCTTCTAATCTTCAAAACAACTCTGCTCTCCCTCTCTTTAGTACCTAAGAATCAAAGCTCAGAGAGGT